AAACCCCGAAACCCCAAACCCTAAACACAACACCTCTGTCCTAAAGACCCAATCCCGGAACTGCCTGACATCGATGGAATGCTAAACCCAAAGCCCTAAACCCCGGAACCCGAAGCCCTAAACCTTTGCCCAAACCCCGTAGAGGGTTTAGGGTTTAGGGTTCAGGGTTCAGGGTTTCGGATTTAGGGTTTAGGGCTGGGTTTAGGAGCACGCCCCTAAGCCCCTAAACCCCCTTAGCTCTGACAGAAAGTGTCGTCGAATGAGGCTGCGCGGTGGACGTCTTCTTGGAGCCTCTCAGCGCCGATCCGCAGGTGCTGGTGGAAGGGTTTCGGGTTTAGGGTTTAGGGTTTCGGGTTTAGGGTTTAGGCTTTAGGGTTTAGGGTTTAGTGTTTAGAACTACGTTACGGGCTTTGCTTGGGTACCCGATAAAGGCCTCCATATGAAAATCGGACCCGCAGAAGGGACCAAAACTCAGAGAACCTCGCACATAAGGTTGGAAAATATGGCTCCATCCTAATCCGAGAGTTTTTGAAGGCAAAGTGCAGTGGGCCCCTGAGCGCTAAGCCCTTGAGCCAAGAGCACAAAACCCTAAACCCTCTAAACCCCCTAAACCCTCTTAGCCTTCCATTCTAACCCTAAGCCCTAAACCTGAAACCCGAAACCAGAAACCCTAATTAGACCCTCAAGCCTTGAAGACCACAAGCTCTGCCCAAAGGCCGCTGCTTAGGGCTCAGGGTTCATGGTTTAGGGTTCAGGGTTCAGGGTTTGTGGTTCAGGGTTTAGGGTTTAAAGTCTAGGGTTTAGGGAAGCCCCCTCACCCCGAATTCCTTACAGCGCCAAGAGCCGGGTGAGGATGACCCGGACAGCTCGGTGACGGCTGCAGCGGCGGCGTCCAGAGGGTGCCTGGGTGAAGTCATGACAGGACCCAGCCTAGGCCCTTACTCCCTTTCTTTAGGGTCTAGGGTTTGGGGTTTAGGGTTTGGGGCTGGCTCTTGAACCTTCCCAGGTTACTCTGCTCCTTCTATCGATGTTTAGGGTTGAGGGTTCCTGCTCTTGGGGCTGAGGGTTTCGGGTTTAGGTGTATGGTTGAGGGTTTAGGCTTTAGGGTTTCCTTCTATTGGAGGTAAGGGTTTAGGGTTTCCTTCTTTTGTTTAAGATTTCCTTCTTTAGGCTTTCCCTCTTTTGAGGTTTCGAGCGTACTCTAAACCAACAGCCCTGTGTTCACATGTATGTATATATCTACACATTGAACTTTTTGGACCCCCCCTCCACCTCACCGGCCCCACCCTCAAAAAAAAACAACATATCCTTGTTGTTACCGAGGGGCAATTTCTATTGGCTTTCGAGTAAGGAGCTTGATGAACGCGCATTGTTCATACATGTATAGGAAACTACATATACAAACACACAGCTATCCTCCTAAACGCGAAACTCTGAACCCTAAACCCTAAACCGGCAACCCTCACCTCTGTACTCTAAACCCCAGAGGATCGCTCGAAGCCCTGAACCCCCAAAAGGCCCTAAATCCCAAAAGACCCTCAACCCGAAGCCCTGAACCCCAGCAGACCCCAAAGCCTAAGCCCTGAAATGGTGCCCCGAAACTCGGGACCCCAAACCCTAAACCCTAAAAAGCGACCCGAACCCGAAGCCCTAAACCCGAAATCCTAAACCTTAAGCCCTAAACCCCAAAACCAAAAGACCCTAAACCTTAGACCGCAAAAGCCTGAACCCATGGTGGGTTGGCCCCACCAGAGGCCCAGAAGAGCCGACGTGCCTACCTCAGTTGACTTCTGCCTTGGTTTAGGGTTTAGGGTTTAGGGTTTAGGGTTTAGGGTTTAGGGTGTAGCGTTTAGGGGTTAAACTTGAGCAGGTTGGGTTTTGGGGGTGTTGGGGGCTTGTTGGGCTCTTGGTCCCTGTTAAGGGTTCAGGATTTAAGGTTTTGGGGATGGGTGGCACACATGCGGCGGCAGGATAGTCTTGGCAGGGTTCGAGGTTTAGTGTTGGGTTGAGGATTTGGGGTGTGGGGGTTTAGGGTTTAGGGTTTAGGGTTTAGGGTTTAGGGTTGAGTGGTTCTTCCTTGCATCGCAGCTTCTGAGTCCCGATGTGCATTGGCAGCTCTCTCCGGGTCCCTAAACCTTAACCGCAACCCTCAATCCTAAGTCCTCCCCAAACCAACAACCCTAAAATCCAAACCCTAAACCCTTAATAGGGATTGAAATGGCGGGTACCATATTCCCGATTAAGGACTGCTAGTATCAGAAGGAACATCCCAACCCTTTTCCCTGGACTCCTAGACCCTTAGCTGCCAAGGGCTGCGTCGAGTTCTTCGACCTGGCAGCTGGAGACGCAGAAGCCGTCACTGAGGCTGCGGGCGAGCTATTTTTGTTGGTGGTAGGGTTTAGGGTTCGGGGTTTCGGGTTTAAGGCTGTTCTACGTGACCCTGAACGGCAGCAGGGAGCACTTCCAGAACCCGGGGGGGGACAACATAGAGGGGGGGGTTTTGGGGCGAACGGAGCAGGCTTGCCTCACAGGTCAAGGCACAGCAGGGCATACGAGGGGATGGAGCCGCTGGAAGTGGGGCCCTGCACCCAATGCACCGTCCGCTCCCTCCGCGACCGGCATGGGGAGGGGAGTGGAGGTGGGCTGTGGGGTGCCTGCTTAATTTGAACTCCCCATACATGGCCCGAGGCCTCGGGCTAGGGTGGAAGAGCTGAGTGTGGCGCAAGGCCCCTGGTGTGCGATGTGCTGACAGCTACCACCACCAGGCGCGTGCGGGTTGCGGTGGCTCATGGCCCAGCCGCCCAAGAGTAGCTTTGATATACACCTTTCCTTTCATTTTTGGGTAATGTCTGCATTTTTAACGCGCAGGGTTAAGCTAGGTAGAGGTTAGGCGTTCACATGCGCAAGGTCACCCCCCTAAACTTTGGCCAGCTGGATGCTTACCAGGTCTTCGCGCCAGACGACATCGACGCCTTCTTCAACGAGCTTTGAAAGGGGGACTGCCGGATTGATGTCGGTTTTTTGCAATCGACGCCTGTGCTGTGCACACAGTTAGAGGGGACAGAAAGGAACGTAAAAATATGGCCGAGGATGGCATGGGGGTTAGGACGTCATAGGTTCTTGTGAGCTCCCTTGCTTCTATAGCTTATCAAGAAGCCTGCACCCCAAGAACTCTGTCTCTGCGAGTTCCCACGTAGACTTCTCAACCCTCTGCCTCAAATCCTAAACTCTCAGCCCTGAACCGCGACTTCAGCACAGGCCGTAGCCCTGTGCACATGTGGGCCCGGCAGCTGTTTCACTCGGGGTGAGTAACCTCATCAATCCACAAACGGCCGGAACACCCTCAACCCCAAACCCCGAACCCCTAAACCCTAGGCCCCACACTCTGTCCTAAACCCCTAAGCCCTAAACCCTCAGCCCTGAACCCCACATCGCAGCCGTTGAGGCACTGTACAGGCTCAGACGGCTGCGTCTGCGTTCCAAGCACTTTCGCGCTGTGCCCGCATGGTTGAGGGTTTAATGTAGGCATTGGGGCCATTATAACTCCTCGAGTGAATTACAGGCTTGCAAGCCCCAAAACCTCAAAATCGTGATAAGCTCTGAAGGCCTATACACCCCAAACCCTGAACCCTACACTGCCCTAAACCCTAGTTCTGTGGCTTTGCTTTACTTGACTTCGACCACAACAGGGGCATGGGAGTAAAGTGCACCACGGTTCCAAATCCGGGTTGAGTTTTATGGTTCAAGGGACCTTATGTCCCCTAAACCCTAAACCTTAAACCCGAAACCGCAAAATTCTAAACTCCAGGGGCACTCGCGGTAGTGGGCTACCCCCCTGGGCAGCTGGGGCTTGATCTGCTGCCTGGGGGGGGGGGGGGGGGGGGCAAGCCTGACAACTCCTGGCGCGAGTGGAAGGGGCGGCAAAAGAAGAGAGCCTGGAAGCCCTAAACCCTCAACCCCCTGAACCCTGAACCCTGAACCCTGAACCCTAAACCCCAATCCCTAGACTCGAAACCCATAAAAGCTCCGGAGACTTCAAGCCGAAAACCCCTTAAAAACTCAGGAGCGGATTCATGTGGGATCTCGACGGGAGTTAAGTTTGAGGAGGCCGGCATCGGAGGTTGAGGGCAGGCAGGCCTAAACCCTAAACCCTAAACCCTAAACCCTAAACCCTAAACCCTAAACCCTAAACCCTAAACCCTAAACCCTAAATCCTGAACCCCAAGTTTAGTCAGTCCCAGCCTCTTCAGAGTTCAGTCTTGGGCTTCGCGCTTGTGATGTTGGTTTAGGGGTTTAGGGGTTTAGGGTTCAGGGTTCAGGGTTCAGGGTTTAGGGTTTAGGGTTTAGGGTTTAGGGTTTAGGGCCTGTTTGGGGGTGTAGGGGTTCAGGGGTTACAAGGGTTTGAAGGGTTTTGCTGTGCGGTGGCCCTGGGAGTTGCTCAGGCTGCGTCGGAGCCCTGCGCGAAGCTCGGCATCGGGCCTTGGGTTGTGGGGGCAGGGTTTAGGGTTTAGGGTTTAGGGTTTAGGGTTTAGGGTTTAGGGTTTAGGGTTTGGGGGGTTTGGGGGGTTTGGGGTTCAGGGTTCAGGGTTTCGGGTTTAGGGTTTGGGTTTAGGGTTTAGGGTTTCGGGTTTAGGGTTTAGGGCTTAGGGTTTTGGGTGGAGGGTTTCCAAACAAAGGCTCTAACAATCTAACCAAAGCCTTAGACTCTACCACGCTAAAGCCTAAACCCTAGAAAGCCCAAACCCCAAGCCCCAAACCCTACACCCTAAACCCAAGGCCACTCCAACTCCAAAGTTCTGAGTTTGAGAATTGTAGGGTTCTTAGGTACCTAGGGAAGCTTAGGGAAGCTTGGGGAGCCTTAGGGAGTAGAGGGGGGCATTAGGGAACCTTGAACCTCTGCCCTAAACCCTAAACCCTAAAACCTCAACCCTAAACCCTAAACCCTGAATCCTAAACCCTAAACCTGAACTGTCAGGGGCGTTGAAGTGAGGCATGGCCACATGAAGGAGACCACGGCGGTGGTCCCGGACGTCGGCGGAGAGCAGGCGGCTGGGTTTTCCTTAAACCCTAAACCCTAAACCCTAGACCCTAAACCCTAAACCCTAAACCCTAAACCCTAAACCCTAAACTCTAAACCCTAAACCCTACACCCTACACCCTAAACCCTAAACCCGAAACCCTAAACCCGAGCCTCGCAGTTCTACACGGCCTCCGCGGACAAGTCCCTGAAGATCTGGGATCTGAAGACGCGAAGGCCTATCGGAGCCCCACACACGCGCTTTACCTCTAGGGGTGGGAGTCCGTGGGTTTGGGGTTTAGGGTTTAGGGTTTAGGGTTTAGGGTTTTTGGGAAAGCCTGTTATTCACAGGTGCATGGAGACCTTGCTGGGCCACGTGGATGCGGTGACCTCTTTGGACCTCCTTGTCAAGCCTGGACTCCCAGAAGGGTTCAGGGCTTCACTTTGCGGAATTAGGGTTTAGGGTTTCGGGTTTCGGGACTAGTGTCCCTTAAATTGCAGGGTTTGTTGAGGCTGGAAACTTGGGGCAGGGTTGTTTCTTTTTGGGGCAGGGTTGCTTCTTTTGTTAGGTTCAGGGAACCGGCTCAACTCCCTGGCAAAACCCTAGCCCTAAACCCTAAACCCCGAACCCCTCATCTTATGGTGTCCCAAAGCACTAAACCCTCATCCCATGGCACCTTGAGCAAACCCCTGTGAAACGGTTGTGTCTTCAGCATGCCTCAGCGCAAAACCCTAAGACCTGCAGCCCTAAAACACTGGAATCAAGACAGGGCTTGCTCAGAAAGGATAAAACCTTGAACCCCAAACCACAAACCCTAAACCCCAAAACCTTCAACCCTAATCAAACCCTAACACCCTCTAGGGAGTGGTGTAGGGTTTACACTTGGGGTTTTCGGGTTTTGGCCCGGGAGTCCGGGAATGTCATCCTCACCCCATCACTGGTCCACATTTTGGCGCAAGCATGTTTGGCTCCCAAATATCCGGAAGCTCTGAATCCTAAACCCTAAACCCTAAACCCTAAACCCCTAACCCCTAAACCCTAAACCCTAAACCCTAAGGCCCGAATCCTTAAACCCGAAACCCTCACCCCCAAACCCCAAAACAACCTTAATTACGCCCCCTCAATCTCGAAACCGCATCTTCGTGCCGACGCTAGGGGCAAGCCTCTCTCCGGGGGTGCGGACAAGTCGGTTCGATTCTGGAAGGCAGCTCCCTGCCGTTGTGTTCTTGAGTGTGTGTGTGTGTGTGTGTGTGCGTGCGCGCGCGCGCGCGTGATTAGGCCGGCTTTTCGGGGGTCAGCAGCTTTGGAGTTAGTGTGGGGTGGTGAAGGGTTCGGATCCAGAGAGTTTGTTCTTTTACCTATGCGAGTTGCTGAGCTCTTCCTAGCAGTTTGCAGCAGGAGGGCCGACGCAATATCCAAACACACCCAAAATTTAGGGTTGAGTGGTTTAGGGCTTCTGCTTACAGCTGCTCTTGGCAGCTTGCGAGCTACGCAAAAGCTCAGCTAGGGAACGGTGTCGAAGTGAAATTAGATAAGCCTAAGCCTTAAGCCTTGAGGCCTAGATGATCAGAAGTGTATTGCTTAATTACCTGTGAATCACTTAACCGCCTTGGCCGCCAGGTGGACAAGGGCACCCACCTCATGTTCACCAGGCTCCTAGCCTTTGTTTCGCTCTCGGCAGTTTTGGGTTCAGGGTTGTTGGTTTGGGTCCTGTACACCCTCAACACTAAACCTTCAACCCTAAAGGGCTTCGGGCCAGACCTCTTGAGTTTCGAAGTTGCGAGCACCTTCCTGGCTCCCTGGATGCTCAACCTTGCGGCCCTGGTCCAAGAAGGCATACTTACGCCGTCGATGCCGTGTGCGTGCTGGACTCTGAGCAGTTCGCTTCGGGTGGGCAGGCAAGGCAACCCTAAACCCTAAACCCAAAACCCTAAACCCCTGCATAGATCCCAACGAGCTCCACAAGCCTCCGCCCCACACCTCAAGAGAGCCCTGAGCCTGTTGGCAGCTTGGTGAGGGTGCATAAGCCCTGAAACCTCAAGCCCTAAACCCTAAACCCTACACCCCCAAACGCAGCTGTCGGCCTGTTTGTCCTCTGGTAGGGCTCCCTAAATTGTGGGATTTTTGGGGACCTTCAAACCTACCTAAACAGGTCTAAGATTTAGGGCTTAGGGGTTCTCAGGGTTTTGGCTTGTATCAACCTTCTCAACCCTGCACCCTCAACCCTGGCGCGCCAGGATGGGAACATCATGGTGTGGTCCAGTGCTTCCAAGAAGCCAGTGGCCACGACCTGTCTAGGCGGAGCTTAGTAAGGGGCGTTCGGTTTAGGGTTTATGGTCTAGGGTTTAGGCTTCAGGGTTTAGGGTCTAGGGTTTTGATTCTAAACCCTGAAGCCCTGAAGCCTAAACCCTAGAACTCCTGGAGGCGCAGAATTAGTGGGCATGGCCTTCCTCTTTGCATTTCGTGAGTTTCTGGGCGTTATGTCTACTTGGGATGAACATGGCCTAGCTGGGCTTCAGACAACTCTTATTCTCAGTAGTCGAGTATGTAGCCAAATATACGCACCAAACCCCGAAATCCCGAAACCACTGACAAGTAAGTATGTGCCATCCAGGATGCAACTCCTAAACCCTAAACCTTAAACGTTGTAACCGCCTACATCGTAAACCCTCTACCCTCAACCTAAACGTAACCCTAAACCCTAAATAAACCGCCAATCCTAAAACTCAGCGCACGTCCCTGACCAGGAGATGGCAAGTGGGTATCGTCCCTCGCGGCCCTGAGCTAAGCTGAGCCTAAAGCTTCAGAGATCTAGAGATATCAAAAGATTTTCACCACTATATACATATGAACACAAATATGAATACAAATATAAACATGAATAGAAGTAGACCCAAAGACCAAATTTATGTGCAGGCGTACGCCACACGCCGAAAGCATGATGTGTAGTAAATTCTTTCGACAACGATTTAAAGTCCGGATCCGCAGACTGTAGAAGCCCAATTCCTTCTGGGATTGCTCCAAGTCTTGAACTCGATTTGAACTGAGAACGCCTAGTTTAGGGTTTAGGGTTTAGGGCTTGCTCCCCTCTTCATCCTTCCTCATCGTCGCCGTCATCCTCATCAACGCCCTCCTCCTCCTCCTCCTCATCACCATCATCATCATCGTCATCGTCATCGTCATAGTCATCAAAATCATCCTCGGCATCACCAACGCCACCAACACTGCCGTCCTTGTTCTCATGTCGCTTTTTAAACTTTCCCCGGTGTATACTGAGGATGCTAGTGTTCCCATGAGAGCCGAATCAGTCATTTCATCGTCGCGGACGGCGCGCTGTGACAATTCCAGATATTTAGGGTCCAGGATGTAGGGTTCCTCTACAAGGGACTGGGCATGTTTTCGGGGTATACTAGGGGTACACCCTATCTCCCATACACACCCTGAGCCCTAAACCCTAAACCCGAAACCCGAAACCCTAAACCCTAAACCCCAAACCCCAAGCCCTAAACCCTAAACCCTAAGCCAGCCCAGTCAAAGGCCATGCAGCGGGCAAACGTGATTTTCTCTGGCGGGGTCGACGGCACGCCCGGGCCTTCGGCAGATTGGGGTTTGGGGTTTAAGGGATTAGGGTTTAGGGTTTAGGGTCTAGAGTTCGGCTCGCCCAACCCAAAAAGCCTTCCCATTAAAGTCCAGGCAACTACGATGTTTGCAGTGTTAATTGCCAACTACTTGTGCGACATGCGTCCCGGAGGATGAATGGCACACTTCGGTGGAACCTGGGTTGAGCCTAATGTGCCGCGTCTGTGCAAACAAGACATTCTGAATTGCCATGATCTTCCTGGCCAATCTAAAGGTCATAGTCGTCTGTGCTAGAAGTTTAGTTCGGGTTTAGGAATGGAAGAATCGAAGAACAACTGAACTCCAAAAGCAGCAAACTCGAAACCCTGACCCCTGAACCCGGAAGCCTCGTTCTTAAACGCCAGCCCCGAACCCTAAACCCCAAACCCGAAACCCTAAACCCGAAACCCTGAACCCTGAACCTTAAAGTCCCGGACTCCCTGAACTCTGAGCCCCCCGTTCCTGCGGCCGAGTTTGCGGACTTGGCGGTGCGGCAAAGCCACCAGCACTGAGGAGCGAAGGGTTTACAGGGTTTGTAGGGCTCACAGTGTTGAGTATACCCTAATCGATATTATAGTACAGGGTCAGGCAGGTCCATTCTCTGCTCCAGGGAGCCTAGCACCCCTTTCTCAGAATTCGAGCTTAAGTTATGTTAAGGATATTCAGTTCAAGGCATAGTCCTCCTTTCTTTTCAGATATGTTGGGCTCATATCAGTCGCTAAGCCGCTTCGGAAGATTTGTGTGTCCATCTTGCCTTGAACCCAAGGGTGAGCGATCGTTGTTGAAACAGTGCCGCAGTGTCAAAAAGTTGCACATGTTTAGGGTTTAGGGCTTAGGGTGTAGGGTTTAGGGGCCTCATCCTTCGACTCCCGTTCCAGCCTTAAGCTCGGTTGCGGGGGTTCAACTCTCCACGAGCCCTAAGCCCTAAGCCGTGAAGCCTCTGGCAGACCAGCTGCCCGGGTTGCGGCAACGTGTACCTGGAAGACGCGCGGTTCTGCCGGAAGTGCGGACGCAAGCGCGACGAGGTGCGGACGGGACCGATGTGGCAGGGCATCGGTTGCAGGGCATATAGGGGCCAGGGTCTAAAGGTGGCGTATTCCCCTTCTGCATTTCAGCATGCTTAGCCACGAGCAAAGGAGCAACGTCTCCAGAGCTGGGGCCGTTCAGGGTTTTTGCCGGCGTCGACCCCAGAATGCTCCAAGAGCACCGCAAGAGCACGCCTAGACTCGAAGAGCCCACCAACTTTCTGGGCCTTTTCGGGCACCCCCAGAAGGGCACCCATAGAAGGGCACCCCAAACAAGGCGACGAATTCGTGCGCAGGACACAGGCGGTTTAGGGTTTTGGGTTTCGGGTTTAGGGTTTAGGGTTCAGGGTTTAGGGTGTGAGCACGGAAGGTTCACAGGCCTCACAACAGCAATGACTCCCAGCTCAACCCGACAGCCCGAAAGTCCGAGAACCCGTAAAGCCCTCTAAGCTCAAGTCGTCTTGTCCCATTCACGGAGCTCCTGGGCCCTAAACCCGCATAATTTTTCTGTTTGGGTCCATTTCCAGCCTCTCCCCAACCATCTGCACGCGATTCTTGAGCCCCGAATCTTTACGTCTCATGGCCCTGGCGAGGGCGAGAAGAAGGGAGGGGTCCAGCTCCTTCCCGCAGCGGGGCCGTGAGCCCGAGTGATCGTAAATCAGAATAGGGTTTTGGGGGTCACTAGAGTAGATTTATATAGGGGACCATACGGGAATTTTGGAGGTTATTGTAGTACATGTATGTAGGGACCAGAAGGGAACACGAGTAGTAACCATTCCAAATAGGTAGTTCTCCAAGTTGGAGTCCCTTTTTCGGGTCCCTATATTAGCCCTCTGTAATGTTTCGCTCCGCATGAAAAGGACCCCCCCCAAAAAAAAGGGACACTAAGGAGAACTTCGCATCTTTTGTTTGTTTTAGTATTGGGGGGTTGGGGTGTTTAGGGGTTTCGGGCTTCACGGTTTTAGGGTTTTATGGTTGTGAAGTTGGTGTTTGAGGGGTGTTCGTTTTTGTTTGGTTTTGCATGTTTGCAGGTTCGAGGTGTAGGGCTGCCCATGTCTTCGGGGTTTCGCACCGTGTAGGACCCCAAACTCAAATCAAGGCCCTGGAGAACCCTTAAGCTCCACAGAATCTGTAAGGCTCCAAAAGAAGCCCCTCCAAATCCGAAGGGAACCCTCACAACCCTAAACCCCAAACCCTAAGCCCCCAAACCCTAAACCGGCCATTTTCATCTTTCCTTTGGAACAACCCTTACAAGTAGCTGTCAATGCATAGGGGTTGTTCCAAACTGGGGTGTAAGGCTTGAGCCCCTCCGTTTTTTGGCACTGTTAGCTACAAGGGTTCTGCTGTAGGAAGAAGAGGTGGCAGGTTTCCTGCAGCTACCTGGAGCTTCGAGAGGTTTGTTCGAGAGTTGGCGATATCACCCCAGGCTGCCAAGGAGGCTTAGGACAGGCTGTCTGAACGTTTGACATGTATGCAGTGGGATGTTCCCCCTCATACTGACAGTCCTTAATGGGGATCTTTTTACTCCCTACTGAGGACTGTCAATATAGGGGGGAGCACCCCAATGTATGCACGGCTAGGCACGCACGTAAACATCGGTGCTCTCGGATGCACTGGTAGCATGCGCACTCATCATCGCATGGAGTCAGGGTTTGCCCTTCCCCAACACCCCCACCCGGGAGCTGAACTGGAGACTTGAGAAGGTTGGAACCCTAAACCCTAAACCCTAAACCCTAGACCCTAAACCCTAAACCCTAAACCCTAAGCCCTAAACCCTAAACCCTAAACCCTAATTCAACCCGACGTCCTAAGGCCCCAATAAATGGAAGAGACAGAGTCGCCGAGAGACAACCGACAACTTCGCTAAATTCACGATTCTTAAGAACTTGCTTCCCACGTATATGCAGATAGAAAAACACAAAAACAATGAACAATAAAAAATAGATGGAAAATAAAAAATGGAAATAAATAAATAAACACATAAGTAAATAAACAAATAAATGAACATATATATATATACATATATATATATATGCATATGTGCATATCATATACACAACCATTTAAGGGCCATTATGGTTGGGAGTTCAGGATTTGTGGTTTAAGTTCAAGGTTTGAGGCCATGATAAAAGATGTGCTTCTGCTTCTTCAACGGCTCTGCGTGAAAACCTCACTCACCCTTGAGTTTCCGCCACCTGAAGATCGAGCTCCAAGCCTACAAGTTGTGTCCGATGTTGCGCATTGCAGTCTTCGCGTCGTCTGCGGCGACAGCTGCCAAGTAGGTGTAGATAGCCGCGAGGCAACACAGGGATCCCAGCGCAATTTGCGTGGATAGGCTTGACATTCTCGGCTCTTCAGCAGGCTGTTCCGATGATCCGAAGATGTATTTCCGAATGTGCCACAGAGATGCACAACGGTCTGTTGCGTCGTCACGTCAGATGTGCAACAGGGTGCAAAGGTAACGCCGCCACTCCGGAAATTCAAAGGTACGCCTCCATCACAAAGTCGTGACTCAACCATGGAATATTTACGAGCTGTTGGCCTTACCTTTGGCTGTGGCCCTCAATTACGAAGCCCCCAGATAACCAGGTCCCACCCCAAGACTGGAGGCCCAAAGATGCCCTTAAGGCATTAAGCACAGGCCAGTTCAAGCCCCTGGCTGCATCAACGACATTGCCGTGGGGAAGCGCTTCCTCGCTTTGGCAGTCGGAAAGGCGCATCGTCATTTTATGTCATTGCGTTCCGCTTTGTTTGGGGCATTCCCTGCAGGAGTGGCCCTGATTGCCGTTGCTGTGCCGTTGCAACAGGGTTCCTGCTGTGGCTGACAGGCCATGTTACCCAGCATGTTTCTAGTGGCGCCTGTCGTTTGTACCGTTGCTGCTATCACTACTGCTTACTTGCCGGCTGCCAATACTAGTAGTGACAAATCCTGCCGCCACTGCTGCTGCTCAAGTACAGCAGATGCTGCATCTTGCTAGCACTACCAACGCGCAGGAACACAAGTTCGGGCGTTGGTTCTACGACCGCAAGGAGAAGAATGGGGTCCTCCTAGTTTGGCCCTGAGGTAGAAGCAGGTCGATGTTAGAGCTTTTTGAAACCCCGACAGGGCCAGCCGAATCCCAAACCCTTTTGTGCAGGATGGTCCGGTCCGCCCAGTCCAAGCCCAGGCATCTTCCAATACTGTTAGCAGGGGCTAAACCCCGAACCCTTGTTTCTTTTCTGTCGGGGCAGGTTCCCTTGCAAGTTTACAAGGAAGAGTATCGTGTATTCTTTGGTGTCTTTGGGCTGAAACCCATAAACCCCATGAGCCTTAAACCTTAACCCTAGCCCTAGCCACGAACCCTTAACCTCTAAACCCTAAACCCTAAATGGGACGTAGCGCTTGAGGTGCCTCTCAGCTACAAGGAAGGCTGAGTGAGCGCCGATCGGCGCTGGATAGAAGGGCCAGGCCGCCATTCTTCATGCCCAGATCTGCCCAACTTGGGTTTGGGGTTTAGGGCTTAGGGTTTAGGTTTTAGGGTTTAGGGTTTAAGGTTTAGACCCCTGCAGCCAGAAACCCGAAACCTGCTACCTTAGCCAAAGAAGCCTCCAAGTGCAGTAAGCCCAGTGCCGAGCTCCTCTTCGGAGCCTTCGTGCCGCTCCCAGGAGGCGCTGCTTCGCGCTGGCGCGGAAAAGGGGGCTTTGGGCTTTGGGCTTTGGGGTTTAGGGTTTAGGGTGGTTGAGAAGTTGAGGGTTTCGGGCTTGTTTATGCTTAAACCCTGAACAAACCCTAAACCTCAAAGCTTGAACTCTAAACCCTAAGCCTAAACTCCTAACACCTATGCCCTAAACCCTAAACGCTAAACCCTAAACCCTAAACCCTAAGCCCTAAACCCTAAACCCTAAACTCTAAACCCATAGCCCTAAACCCCAAACCCTACCCCCCTTAGCCTAAAGCTCTTCCCCCGGGATCCTACTCAAGCTTCCAAAGTCCGTGGCCGCCTGGTCTCGTCGCCTGTTGCCCGTCGGGGGGCCTGGGGGGGTTTCAGGTTTAGGGTTTCGGGCTTAGGGTGTAGGGTTTAGGGTTTAGGGCATAGGGTTTAGGGCTTAGGGTTTAGGGCTTTGGGGTTAAGGGTGAAGGTTAGAGGAGAGGGAGTCACAATAGTGGAGTTTGGGTTTAAACCCCGGCTTCCTCAGCCCCCAATCCCAAACCTATGCCATGACCAAAATGCTTTAGTTGGGTTGTAAATGCAGATGCAGATCTCCATTAAAATGTGGATACCACGAATATGAGACAACAGCAGAAGTTGAATACATGTATGGATGAACGATATGTAGTATAGTCAACCCTCAACCCCGACCCGCTAAGAACTCCACACCCCCAAGAACTCCAAGCCCTTAAGAACTCCAAGCCCCTAAAAATTCCAAACCCCTAAGAGCTCCAGACCCCGAAGAGCTCCAAGCCCGCAAGAAACCGAGGTGCCGCTCAAGAATTTGGGCGGGGGGGGGGGGGGGCCTGCCGGGGTCAAGTCCTCCCCAAAACCGGCCCATAAATCTGCTCCCGTTTGTTTGTTTTTAGGGTTCCGAGGTTAGGGTTTTAGAGTTTAGGGTTCCTGGGTTTAGGTTTTTTTCGCTTCTAGGGGAGAGCTGCTTCAAAACGAGAGCCGCAAGAGCGAGTGCTGCTAAGTGGGGCTCCGTGGTGCAATAAGGAGAGCCAATGGCACACGAAGCTTAGCAGGGCTTTGCCTTGCGCCGAAAACATCAAGCATGCAGTGTCAAACGGCCGGATCTGGCAAAACCTGCAGCCTTCAAACCAGGATTGCGGGTTTAGCGAGATGTTCCTGAGATTCTATAATCTGTTACCATCATGTGCATAAGAGGCTGCTAAGCTGTTCCTGAGGTCATGGCTCCTGCTGCATCTCGTTGCCAAGCGCTCGGATTCTGTGGGTTCCAGCCCAAAGAATTCCCACAGCCACGCCTTCGGTGGAACACGATACTTAAAGTGGACTCTCCCTGATCCTAAGCCCCAACCGCTGATTGCAACTTTAAGCCCCAAACCCTGAGCCCCAAGCCCCAAAGCCTAAACCCTGTACCTGAAAACCCGAAACCCCCACCCAGAGACTACACGCTTTTCGAAAGCCCTAAACCCTAAACCCTAACTAAACCCCCATACAAAGAACCTACGAGAGCTCTGAGCAAGGTGTCCTGCGCGCCGCAGCGCTCACGGCCGCCGTCGCTGGGCTTTGGCTCGCGCAGGCCGGGAAAATTTTGGCCGAAGGATACCCTGATATATACATCAGCTAGCAAAATCATCTATATATGTATAGAAATATACATACACATAAATTGGTAAAGTGATACAATACTAGAACAACACAACAATATTACTTCAGATAAGAAGAGAATCATATATACCAGAATAACATAATCGCATAACAGTAGAATAAGACATCAATATGATTCGAATAGTATAGCAAGATACTTGTTCAACAATACAATGGTATGGTGCTACTATACTACATCGTTTCACCCTATCATCCTATCATCCTATCATCCGATCGTCCTATCATCCTATCATCCTATCGTCCTATCGTCCTATCGTCCTATCGTCCTGTCGTCCAATTATCATCATCGCAACCCGAATCCCAAAACCCCCCAACCCAAACCCCTAAGCCCCCTGAACCTAACCCCTCAACCCCTCGACCCCTCGACCCCTGAACCCCTGAACCCGTCAACAAACCCTAAATAAAACCATAAACCCTAAACCCTAAACCCTAAACCCTAAACCCTAAACCCTAAACCCTAAACCCCAAACCCTAAACCCTAAACCCTAAACCCTAAACCCTAAACCCTAAACCCTAAACCCTAAACCCTAAACCGTAAACCCTAAACCCTAAACCCTAAAACCCACAAACTCCAAACCTTGGAGGCCTTCGTGGCCGCCCCAGCACCGCACACCGCGCCAGCTCTTCGAGCTGCTGGGCCGTGGGGGCCCTGGTTTCGGTCTCTGGGGTTGGGGTGTAATAGGTTTAGGTTTAGGTTTGGGTTTAGGGTTTAGGGTTTAGGGTTTCGCGTTTAGGGTTTAGGGTTTAGGGTTTAGGGTTTAGGGTTTAGGGTTTAGGGTTGAGGGTTGAGGGTTGAGGGTTGAGGGCTTAGGGTTTAGGGTTTAGGGTGTAGGGTTTGCTAAGGTTCCGCGCACACCACCACGCGGGACGTGTGTTGTGGTGGCGGGTTTAGGGTTTTACAATATCGTGTGTAAGTAGTAGGAGGGGGCGCTACGGGCCGCCGTTGACCAAATTCCTGTGGTACCCCCCGCGAAGTGCTCCCTGTCCGCCCAAGATCCATAGGTTTTATTTTTTTCCGGTGTTTCCAAATTATGATGCTTATACGGGGCTTACAAGACCCATAGGTTTATGCCTTGGGCTCCCTTTGGTTTTTGGTCCGGCACCCTCTCTACGATTGGTCCGGGAGTAGTGCAATGGTCCGAAACAGTCCGGGAGGAGCCCCAAAAGGCTCAGAACTGGTCCGGCAGAAGCCCAAAAAGCTCCGCGGGCCTGTCGCCACGCGGTATCGCTCGCCGCTGCTTATCGCAGCGCCCGCGGCTCGCTCCAGTTTAGGGTTTAGGGTTTAGGGTTTAGGGTTTAGGGTTTAGGGTTTAGGGTTTAGGGTTTAGGGTTTAGGCTTTAGGGGATGTAGGGTTTGGGGTTTAGGGTTAGGGTTCAGCCGTTCATGTAGCAGCTTTCACCAGTCGAGCATTTTTCATCATGTGGTACGTCAGCAGATTACAGCTTTCGTTTATCACCTGCGCCCTAGGCGCTGCCCCTCAACCTTAAGCCCTGATTCCTAAACCCGACACCCTTAGCCCGAGGCCCTGAACCCGAAATCCTCAGCCCTGTACCCAAAACCCTAAGCTAAACTCATTGCCCTGAACCAAAACCCTAGGACCTGAACCCTGAACCCTAGGACCTGAACCCTAAGCCCCAGCTCGATTGACTGAAATCTGAAAAGCACCGATAGCCGATTGACCGAACTCTGAAAAACAAACGCTGGTGGCCGATTAAATACTAAGAGAGTGCTCAGGGTTTAGGGTTTAGGGCATGGCATAGGGGTGTTACGGTATTGCGGTCTTGTACCAGGGCATCAGGGTGTTTGGGTATTGGTTCAGGGCAGCAAGCCAAAACCCTAAGGCCTAAACCCTAAACCTTACACAACCCTACACCCTAAACCCTAAACCCTAAACCCTGGCGCTGTGCTTCGGCAGGCGTGCCACGGCGAGCACAGCCACCGCCCAGTCGGGATCAGAGACCTCTGCCCTGGCCCGGGCACCTGGTATAGGGCTATTTAGGCCAAAGCGTTTCTGGTCCTTAACAGCAACTCAGAACCAAGTAATTAGGCAGCTGTTCCCATAGCCGTGTCCAGGTACGTATGCAGGCTAAGAAGTGATGCGTTGGGAGACGCTTGAGCCGAAACCCGAAACCCTAAACCCTAAACCTTTAACCCACCGGCCAGGCTGCTAGTTGCCTCCTGGCGGGCGTCTCTGCCTCCCTCGTGCGCCGGTCCACAGCGCGCCGCGCGGCAGGGCGCCTGGCATTGGGCTTCGGGTTTAATTAGGGCTTAGGGTTTAGGGTTTACGGTTTAGGGTTATCTGCTAGTTGCTCCCCAAAGAATCAAAAGATAGTACTCCCTATATTGCCTTTAGAAGGAGGAATATTTGCTGTTTTTCTGGGTGGTGCTTGAGCAAATAGTAGTTCTTTCTACAGGATTGGTTGTAGGATTTAGGGTGTTGGGGGGAAAGAGTACCAGGGTTTAGGGTTAGGAGAGGGTATAGGCTTTACGGTGTCAGGGTCTCGTGTTTAGGGTTTCGGGTTAGGGGCTGAGGGCTTCAGCATTTGAGGTTTCAGGGTTACTTTAGGGTTACCCTTCAACGAACCCCGAGGCCACAAACTGCAAACCCTAAAACTCAACCCTTTCGGCACCCTGCAAATCTAAAGTAGAAAAGGCGCGCGCTATCTTAAACCCCACCCCCCTCCCATCAAGGGGGCCCTGAACCCTAAACCCTAAACCGCCTAAAACCTAAACCCTATACCCTAAACCCCAAACCCTAAAACCTAAACCCTAAACCCTAAAACCTATACCTTGATCAAGTGGATCCCATGACCCCTAGCTACAGAAGGAGGCGGACGAGAAGAAGCCCTTCAGCGTTTGGGACCGCAGCCCCGAATCCCTAAACCCGAAACTGCAAGCCTTCTGTTGGTCTGGTTCGTGCTCCAGGAGGTTTGCACTTTGGTTGGGATTCCTGTAAGGGTTTAGAGTTCTGGGAGCCCTCCTCCCTTTTTCCCACCCTTCCCCTCTCCCCCCTCCCCCGCCCCCCCCTCCCTTCCAAGGGCAAAAGCTCTGCGGGGGCTCGACAGGAGCCGGACACCTACGGCAACATCTCCATGGACGACGTGAAGAAGTACGGTGCCGTCCGGGGCCTTACTCTAACAACGGTTTGGGGTTTAGGGTTTAGGGTTTAGGTCGTTAGGACAATTTGGGCTTTCCGAACAGAGGCTCTTGCGTGGAATCCCCGCCATGTAATCGCACCAACCCTGAAGCAAGGATCTTATTATGGTTTTACAGGAAAGTCACAAGGTCCATATCGTCATACTTTATGAGGTCTACAGGGTTTAGGGTGTAGGGTTCAGGGTTTAGGTTTAGGGTTTAGGGTTTCCGTAACATGTTTCGGGGCTGGGGTAACGCAATGGTCCTACTTAATTCTCCGAAGAGCTGTCGAAACCCTTAACAGCCCTTGCTGCCGAGAAGCTGGAACTCACGATCCTCATCCTCAACCAGAAGTCCTATAGAGCCCCAGACCCTCAACCGGAGCCTCAACCCTAAACCCAAAGCCTGCAACCCTAAATGGGTATACTCCCAAAATGGGGAACCTCCCCCCCCCCCCCCGGGCCCGACCCCAAAAAGAACACACTGAGGCCGGCACCCTCTCCTACGTCATCACCGAGCTGATCTTCTGGGCCGTTGCCTTCCCAACGGAGTCCATGCCTCCGCAGGGGTTTTGGGTTAGGGTGGGGGCTGTGCTCTCTCGCTCTCTCGCTCTCTCGCTCTCTCTCTCTCTCTCTCTCTCTCTCTCTCTCTCTCTCTTTTTCTATTTGTTCATTTTTTTTCTCCCCTCTGCTGCTGCTTAAACGCCTCCAAAACTTGCAGGTGCATCGTCTACCTGAACACGGCTGGCCACTGGCCTGACTTCAGCAAGCCCGAGGCCGTTTGCGGGCTTTTTTCGGGTTCAGCTCTGGGGGTTTAGGGGTTTAGTGGTTTAGGGGTTTTAGGATCTAGGGTTTTAGGGTTTTAGGGTTTGTTTGGGGTTTAAGTTTTAGGGGCTTGGTTGAGGGTGTTAGGGCTTAGGGTTTACTTGGGGTTTCGGGTTTTAGGGTTTCAGGATTTGGGGAACTCCGAACCCTAAGTCCCTAAACCCTCACCTCTTTCACCCCCTAAGCGCGGCCCCTCGAAGGAGAGCGCGGCTGTCTTCGGCTTGGTCTTCGCAGCCTCCAACATTGTCGAAGCCTTGTGTGGGATGGAGGTTTAGGGTTTAGGGTTTTGGGCTTAGGGTTTAGGGTTTTGGGTTTTGGGTTTGGGGCTAGGGTTTCGGGTTTAGGGTTTAGGGTTTAGCGTTAGGGTTTAGGGCTTTCACGAGGGCTGAGACTCCGTAAAGTTCTAAACCCTCAATCCCACCCAAGACCTCACTCAACGCCAGGAGCTAAAAAGCCTCAACAAGATATCCTTAAGTCCTTAACCCCCCAAACCCCGTAAACCCCCTAAACCCTGAACCCTAAACCATCTAAACCCCCAACCTAAACCAAACCCCTAAATCCGCAAACCCCTAAACCGCCCTAACCCACAAAACCCTAAACCCCCAAACCCTAAACCCCTTTAAACTCTTAAACCCCCCAGCTGCTTCCCGATCCCTAAGCCCTAAGACCCTCAATCCCTAACACCCTAAGACCCCAGGACCCCAAGACCCTAAGACCGTAAAGTCCTAAACCCTAAACCTTAAACCCTAAACCCTAAACCCTAAACCCTAAACCCTAAGACCCCAAGACCCCAAGACCCCAAGACCCTAAGACCCTTAGGACCCTAAGCCCCCCTAGGACCCTGAACTTGTCGGCCTTCCTGGCCCGAGGCCCGGCTTCTGCTGCCCATCCGCTTCGGTGCGGCGCTGGCTATGGCTCCATGGGCCTGACGCCCACAGGGGCTTAGGGACTTAGGGCTTTAGGGATTCAGGGGTTTAGAGGTTAGGGTGGGTTAGGTTTTGGGGTTTTAGGGTTTTCGGGTTTTAGGGGTTTAGGGGTTTAGGGGTTTAGGGTTTAGAGTTTAGGGTTTTAGGGTTTGGACTTGGGGTTTTAGGGTTTTGGATTTTGGGTTTCCGGGGGGTTGTAGGGTTCAGCGGTCTACAGTCGGAGATTGGAGTTTCGGGTTTTGGGTCCAGGGGGTAGGTTCACGGGCTTAGGGTGTTTGGAGTTCAGGATCTAGGGGTTCAGGATTTAGGGCACAGGACGTTTGTGGGTTCAGGGTTGTGGAGGTTTAGGTCTTAGGGTAGGCGGTAAGATAGATCCCGCGCCCTTTTGGGGCATCAGTGTAGGTCCCTTGTAGCTTCGTGTGTCCCTCCCCCCCCCCGTCCCCGCTTCCAAATTCATGTTGGGGATGAGTTGCTTCTTGGGTGGGGTGAAGGTTCGACACCCCAAACCTTAAACCCTAAATCCCAAAACCCAACACTTCCACCCTCGTATTTGCATATATATATATATTAAGTACAGACTCACTTCCAAGAGCTCTGGAAGTTGAGCTTGTGGTTTTGGGCTTTGGGGTTTAGGGGTTTAGGGGTGTAAGGGTTTAAGGGTTCTAGAGTTTAAGGGTTTTAGAGTTCAAGGGTTTTAGAGTTTAAGGGTTTTAGAGTTTAAGGGTTTTAGAGTTTAAGGGTTTTAGGGTTTGGGGAGTCTGTTTCCCCTGAGGTTGACGAGAACATCATGCAGAAGTTCGGCAAGCAGGAGGCAGGTCGGCCAGTTTGGCCAGGTTGGCTAAGGTTGAACTTAGGGTTTAGGGTTTAGGGTTTGGGGTTTAGGGTTTAGGGTTTAGGGTTTAGGGTTTAGGGTTTAGGGCCAGTACAGCCAAAAAGTTGCGTCACAATGCCTCTGAGATCTCAACCCTCAACCCCGAGCAACTGTGCTCAGGGCACAGGCCGCAGCTGTAGGGAGCCACCATGCCCTAGTGCACCCCCCCAACAACTTGAAGGGTTTCAGGGTTTAACCCTCAACTCTTGGGCTTCAGGGTTACCCTAAACCCTGAACCCTGAACCCTGAACCCTGAACCCTAACCCCTAACCCCTAACCCCTAACCCCTAACCCCTAACCCTAAACCCTAAACCCTAAACCCTAAACCCTAAACCCTAAACCTTAAACCCTAAACCCTACGAAGCCCTAAACCCCGAACCCCCACAGGGCTTCGAAGCATCCAGCTTCGCCAGGCCAAAGAGGGGGCGTGATTATCCACGAGGCTGTGGCAATTTAGGGTTTAGGGTTTAGGGTTTAGGAAGTTTAGGGTTTAGGGTTTAGGGTTGAGGACGCAGGGTTGTGAGTCGTGGGTTTAGAGCTTAGCCCTAAAGACTTTGTTAATTTGCTTTCCAGATGTTACTGTCATCCAAGTACCCTCCGTGTTGCTCAGCCTCTCAACGTTTAAAGAAATTCTTGGGTCTCTGTGCATGGTAAAGGGGGTCTGGGAGTTCAGGGTTCAGGGTTCCGGGGTTCAGGGTTTGGATTTATCGGTTTAGGGCTTATAGTGTTTTGTGTTCGGGTTCAGGGTAAGTTGCGGTTGGAGGTGGGTAGGCTAAGCATCTAGACTCCATGCGCAACCTTGAATGCCCAAACCCTGGCCCACAACCACATATTACAGTTTCAGGGAACCCTAAAGCCTGAACCCTAAACCCTAAACCCTAAACCCTAAACCCTAAACCCTAAACCCTAAACCCTAAACCCTAAACCCTGAACCCTGAACCCTGAACCCTGAACCCTGAACCCTGAACCCTGAACCCTGAACCCTGAACCCTGAACCCTGAACCCTGAACCCTGAACCCTAAGCCGCGGGTTGAGGGTTTGGTTTAGGGGATGCTTGCCCCGGAACTGACGCGGTAAATTGGCATGCGAAAGTAGACCCTAACCCCTAAATCCTAAACCCGGAATCCTGAACCCTCGAGCCTGGGACACTGGGCCCTAGCCCAAAAAACCCAAAAACCCAAAAACCCAAAAACCCAAAAACCCAAAACCCAAACCCCAAATCCCAAGCCCCAAGGCCCAAGCCCCCAACCCCAAACCCCAAACCCCAACCCCAAACCCCAAACCACAAACCCCAAACCCCAAACCCTAAACCCTCTAGATCCATCCGTGCCTGTTTAGAAATATGGGTGTAGTTGAATCATGCATTGCGGGATGCATTGTTCAGGTTTCAGGGTTTAGGGTTTAGGGTATAGGGTGCAGGGTTTAGGGTTTAGGGTTTTGAAATGTCTTGGCGTCCAAGGCTGGGTCATTTTCCATGGTGTTCTGCCAGACTTTGAGCATGCTCAAGCATGCAGTGGGAAGCGCCTCGTCGCTCAAAAGTGCAGTAGGCATTCGCCAGGATTAGGCCATTCTGTCCGACGTGCTTCCTGCGCCTCAAGCCATTTTTCATTTTCGCCGTGAGTGCTGCACGTCTCCGGAGATCAGCCAAGAAGCAAAGCAGATGCTTTGACCCCTAAACCCTAAACCCTCAACCCTAAACCCTAACCCCTAAGCCCAAAACCCTAAACCCACACTGGCTGACTCAGTCTAGACGGCGGGACATCGGGCCTTTGTCGTAAAGCTCCTTGAATGCCAGAAGCCCACGAAGAGAAACGAAATGCAAGCTTTAGGGTTTGGGGTTTGGGGTTTAGGGTTTAGGCTTTAGGGTTTAGGGTTTGGGGTTTAGGGGTTTAGGGGGCAAAGCATCAACCCTGCTCTTAACTTTGGTAGCACTGCGCGGTGCCCGTTTGCCCTTTCGGCAGTATTTTTCCCCCGTTGTTAACGTAACAAACCCAAGCAGGGTGAGGTACCCTTATGATCTAGGCTTTGGGTCTTTAGGCTTTAAGCTCCGCGCCCCAATTTTTGAGCATCCCCTGATGTGATCAGCCCATGTGAACTAGAGCCTGCGTAAGAGTGAGCCCCACAAAGCGTACCGGAAAAAGCCTTAAAACCCTAAACCCCAAACCCTAGACCCGAATCTCTTCAGTAGGTTTCTGGCTTCGTCTTTCCCCACGGCTCTCGGTGCAAAGCGCCTTGCATAGCCCAACCACCTTTGCAGCGTAGACAAAAGTGTCGTGTTCGGAGTTTCGGGTTTAGGGTTTAGGGCTTGCGGCTTAGGCTTCGGGATTTGTAGGGTTCCATGAGGGTTTAGATTAAACCCTAAACTCCTAAACCCTTAAACCCTTAAACCCTTAAACCCTTAAACCCTTAAACCCTTAAACCCTTAAGCCCTTAAGCCCTTAAGCCCTTAAGCCCTTAAGCCCTTAAACCCTTAAACCCTTAAACCCTTAAACCCTTAAACCCTTAAGCCCTTAAACTCTTAAGCCCTTAAACCCTTAAACCCTTAAACCCTTAAGCCCTTAAGCCCTTAAGCCCTTAAGCCCTTAAACCCTTAAACCCTTAAACCCTTCAACCCTTCAACCCTTAAACCCTTCAACCCTTAAACCCTTAAACCCTTGAACCCTTAAACCCTTAAACCCTTAAACCCTTAAACCCTTAAACCTTAAACCCTTAAACCCTTAAACCCTCAAATTAAACCCCTAAACCCCAAAACCATTAAAGCTCTTATAATATCCTAATAATACCCTTATACCCTTCTCCCCTCAAGACCCTCAACTCTTGCACCCTAAATCCTTAAACCCTTGAACCCTGATACCCTTATACCCTTAAACCCGAAACCCTGAACTGCCCTGTTGGGGCCTTAAGGAACTCTACACCTCCTGGCTCCCTTTGGCCCCCAGCCGCTCTGGCAAATAAACCCTGAACCCTAAACTCCCAAACCCCAAACCCCAAACCCCAAACCCCAAACCCTCAACCGAAACTCCCAAAACCCAAACCCCAAACCCCAAACCCTGAACCCTAAACCCTAAACCCCAAACTCTAAACCCTAAACCTCGAACCCCAAGACTCCGGAGGAGTTCGGAGAATATGAAGGGAACCCTGATGTGGATCCTTAACCGCACTGTAGAAACCAAAACCCAGATACCCAGAAGCCCTACGATAGGGGCCTGAATAGCTAGAATAGTGTTTAGGGGGTTTAGGGTTTAGGGTTCACGGCTACTATAGGGGCCTTAATGATTAGAATAGTTGTTCATTTTTTTGGGTGGGGGGGGGGCGGGGGCGGGTGGTATGATAATAATATACAGGGACCACCGACCCATCTCGCATTCCCACCCTAGACCCTAGACCCTAAACCCTAACCCTTGCGTCACCCAAGCACCTCTGGCTGAGCATCTCCTATTCCCGGTCCTTGGTCCGCCCCGCCCAGGCCCTTTCCGGCACGGGAGCGAAGGGATTGAGGGTCTAGGGTTAAGGGTTTGGGGTGTTGAGGGTATTGGGGGCATCTAGGGTCTTTTAGGGTTTACAGGGTTTATAGAGTTTAATTTACAGGGTTTCAGGATTTTCAGGGTCTATATTTTTATGGTTTGTGTGTGTGTGTGTGTGTGTTTTTTTTTTGCGTTTAAGGGGGCTTGAGAGTTTGGATTTTTATGGGGTTTTGGGTTTTGAGGGTTGAGGTTTTCGTTGGGGGGCGGGGGTTTTGGGGTTTAGGGTTTTGGTTTTTGAGGGTTTTTGAGGGCTTTTGAGGGTTTTTTGAGGGTTGAGGGTTTTTGAGGGTTGTTGAAGGTTTTTTGAAGGTTTTTGAAGGTTTTTGAGGGTTTTTGAGGGTTTTTGAGGGTTTTTGAGGGTTTTTGAGACCTTAGCACGTCTTGAAACCATCAGGGTATTAGTTTCAGGCCTTGGGGGCTTGTCAGGCTTTTGGGGTACCCGAAACCCGAAACTCTCGCATGTTGGTGAGGTCATGGCGCCTGCTGCATCTCGCTGCCACCGGCTCGGCTTCTGTGGGCTTGTGAGCGCTCGAGCTGTTGCCAAAACACCATCCTTGGGATGTTCCCCCTTACAGTATTGGTCCTTTATAATCAGGGGCTAGAATAGGTGCTATAATCCGATTAAGGACTGTTAGCATTAAAAGGGGAACATCTCAAAACCATCCGAGCACTAGCTACCCTGAAGCTCCAGATTTGCCGCTGAAGTTCCGAGAGCCGGAAGCCTGTTTCCTAAACCCCAAATAGCCTAAACCCAAGCCCATCAACATAGGGGTAGCTACCCTTGGCTATTCTTGAAAATACCACCCCCCAAACAAAAAACAAAAAACAAGTGTACCCTTTATTTTCGAAAGCTCAAAACCCCAAACCCTAAACCCTAAACCCTAAACCCCAAACCCCAAACCCTAAACCCTAAACCCTAAACCCTAAACCCTAGACCCTAAACCCTAAACCCTAAACCCTAAACCCTAAACCCCCATAACGACAAATCCCTACAATAGCCCTGAACAAGGCGTCCTGCGCGCCGCGGCGCTCACGGCGGCCGTCGCAGGGCTTTGGCTGTCGCAGGCAGGGGCCATCGGGCTGCCTTTCAAGGGACCCTACACCCTAAACCCTAAACCCTAAACCCTAAATCCTAAACCCTAAACCCTAAACCCTAAACCCTAAGCCCTAACCCTTAACCCTTAACCCTTAAACCCTAAACCCTCAACCCGAATCCCTTAAGCCTTAAACCTCCTCAAACCCTAAACCCCTAAACCCCAAACCCCGCATCAGACCTTCGTGGCCGCCCCAGCGCCGCACGCCGCGCCGGCGCTGCGCGCCGCTGGGCCGCCGGGAGACCCAGCTGGCTTCTTGGGGCTTTTGGGGTGTAGGGTTGAGGGTTTGGGGTTTGGGGTTTAGGGTTTAGGGTTTGGGGTTTGGGGTTTGGGGTTTGGGGTTTGGGGTTTGGGGTCTAGGGTTTAGGGGGTTTAGGGTTTGGGGTTTGGTGTTTGGTGTTTAGGGTTGGGGTTTGGGGTTGGTGGTGTTCTTGGCTTTGGAGATTCGAAGGCACGAATGGGGTTTAGGGTTTATAGAGTTTATAAGGTTTGTGAGGTTTATAGGGTTTATAGGGTGGCTAGGGGTTAGGCTTAAGGTTCAGGTCTACAGTTCAGAACGGCTTGTGAGGGAAGGAAACAGGGTGCATGCCCTAAATTGGCATGTGCCAAGACCCTAGACCCTAGCACAACGCCACCGGTTTTATTTAAAATATAACCCGCAGTCTGCATCTCCCGTAAACCTTCAACCCCTGCACCCCTAAACCCTGAACTCCTAAACCCTAAACGACTGAAATTGCCCACTGCGCCCTGAAGAACCCCAAGTCGCAAAACTCGTGGCAGACTAGAAGGGTTCTTTGGTGACCCGAGTCCCTG